CTGAAACTTTATATTTTGGCAGCACGAATTATAACGTTTCTATTGTGTAAGTAGCGATTGATTCTGCTCGTGGCGAAGGGTACTTTACTCTTGAACCTAATAGGGTATACTTCAGTTAGGGGTTGGTTCTTGAGAAATGGATCAATATATTAACTTTTTTTTGATAGCACAAATTAGCACAAAATCGGTACTATTCAAATCTATTTTCATTTTCCTTTTTTTCTTTTTTTTTTCTTGTGGTCCTACTAGCTTGATATTAAGCTGGCAGCGCCACACGTTTCTTCTAAACGGCACGTGGTACAAAATTGTCTTTTGTAGCACAAATTAGCACAAAATGAGCACTAAATAGTTCGAAAGGTCTTTTTCGATTCTGCTCATTTGGTCCTGCTAGCTTGACAGAGGTGCGATAGCCTTAACAATTGTTATATTAATATAGACATTTCATGATAAAAAATTTAAATATTGAAATCCTTGATGTGAAATATTATTTTTACATCTACTTTTTATGAATTGTGTTAAATTTGTGTAATTCTAATAAATTTTTCTAGCCGTCTTACAAATGACGATTTTGATAATATATCGGACGATATAATAAAAGTTTTCCCTAAGGAAGTGAAAGAAACATATTCCGCCTATAAGAAAATGCAACTCAAAAGATAATAGATGTAGCGTGGCTAGAGGTAAACTAGTCGATAAATATAAAAATAAAATTACATTTCTGCGAACTGCTGGAATTTTACCACGTTGCCGACTTAGGAAAGAATCTTGTGAGAACAACGTGGAAATCTTAGGTGTATAGTTTCATATCACGTAGCATCAATGATTGCTAATATACAATTTAGCAAAAAAATAATTTAATGAATAACTATTTATCAAAATGATAATATTACAAATTAATGTTCTATTTACAGTTATAATAAAGAATTTTTTGGCGTTTAAAATCTTTTTTTCATTACTAAAAATTCATTAAAACAATTTTATTATAGAGCTAAACAACGCAGATTTTATATGGCTGCAAAATAATCGAAATCCCTGGGAAGAAGTTATACGAAAGTGGGAAGCGACTTTTTCTATTAGACAAAACATATTTCTTTCAAACAAAAATCTGAAAGAAATACTTTTAAATTGTCCACTCATAAAACATTCAGAAGGATTTTTATTGGTAATTTTACTATGATATATAATAAAACTTTAGAGTTTACATTGCAGTTAGTTATTTGTAAATAATTTATTTAGATTGATAACGATTTTAAGAAGAAGTTTCCAAATAATTATGGGGGAATATTTTTAAATTTCGAAAACGTATTTGAAAAATTACTACTTATGAGCAAATCCCATTTATCTCAAAGCGATTCGTTACTTTTGGAAATCATAAAGGAGAAAAAAAATATATCGAAAGGTTAGTAATATTATTTATATTGTGTCACTAGGTAAATTATTTTAATATATAATTGTAGTAATAACGTACTTATTCGCTAACAAGTATTACAATTTACTAAGTAATATTTCTTTAATATTATATACATTTATATACATTCGGATCATTGCAGATTCTATGCACTATTTAATGCTGTACTTATTATTCTCATTATTGCCTTCAAAATCGGGATATAAAAAAGGAACGACTAATTGGAAACCTAATATTACTGATAGTCGAAGTGGAATTGTTGTACAAATTAAGGTATATTAATGTTACAAATAATGATTAATGATTAATAATTGTAATATCTAAAAAAACTTTTCTCATTTTAGATACCTGCTGATATTCCTACTATTATAGATACCTGCTGATATTCCTACTATTATAGAAGCTAAAAAGAAGCAAATGCAAAAGTATGGACTTTCATTGCAACCTTTTGTAATCATCCAAGGACCTACATATACCAACATAAACAAGATTTTCGTGAGTTTCGAAGATGTATTATACGAACCAGTCACGTTCTTGAAAGCTTTAGATATTTGTTTTCAATTAGCTCACGTATTAAATCTTAATTATCAATAGAGTCACATCACATTTGGTTATTTATTCAAATAAGTATGTATAACATGAAAACAGTATTTGACAATATTCCGAATATTATTAACATTGCATCTAAAGTAAGTACGCAAATTAATTAAGAAGTGCAAATAAGTTAAGATTAATAATTACTATTATTATTACATTAAATTTTTCGACGTGACTCGTAGAGTGCATTTTTATCATGCATTGTAAACATTGCAATAAAAGTTTTTCTTTGAAAAACAGTTTTACAAATCACGTGCATGCTACTCACAAGTTTCAAGATTCATTTTTATGCGGACAAATCAATTGTTACCGATCATTTAATTCAATAAAAGCATTAAAACGGCATTTAAATAATTGTTTTGTTAAAAATGATAAAAATGCGAATATGTTAAAGAAATATGATAAATCAAAACTTGAAACTACTGTTCGCTCTATATATAAAGAGGGAATTACAGATAGAGATGGAATTACAGATGTTAAAGAACCTGCAGAAATAGTACTACCATATCAGAATGATACATCATATCAGGATAATACTGACATGCTTGTTTTAAATTATATTTCAAAACTTTACAATAACAATGCAATTCCTCGTTCTGCTATTCAGAGTATTATAGAAAATAGTTCTGAGCTGTTTACGAACCTTCTGAAAAATGTAAATTCCCAATTAGAACGAAACAATTTAAATGTATCAATATTAGAAAATGATTATAATTATATCGAACCATTTAAAAACTTTGATACTGAATATAAACGATTTTGTAGTCTAGAAAAGATGCAGTTTCTAATAAAACCAATATCGTTTCATATTGGACAAATACTAGACAATGTGAATAGTACAAGCGATGTTCAAATAAAAATGAAAAATTGCGAAAATCAAATTATCCCCATGAGAATAATATTAAAAAAATTTTTAGAATTGCCGAATGTGTTAAACAATATACTTACTTACATAGCAAACGAAAACAACTCAAACGATATTACTAGTATTTTTAATACTACTTTGTGGAAATCTCTTATAACCAAATATGATAAAAATAGAATAATATTACCACTTTACATTTTTTTTGATGATTTCGAAACAGGAAATCCATTGGGCACTCATGCAGGTGTTCATAAATTAGGTGCGATGTATTTTACTTTGGGTGGAATACCATTGAAATATTCATCTCAATTGGAAAATATATTCTTATGGGGATTATTTTATTCTTCAGATAGGGTAACCTTTGGAAATAAAATTGTTTTTCATCCTTTCATAAACGAGTTATTACATTTAGAAACTAAAGGAATCACGATTAATATTGACGAGGAAATAAAACAAATTTATTTTATAGCACCATTTCTGCTGGGTGATAACTTAGGTATTAATTCCTTGACAGGTTTTCAAGAATCTTTTTCCTCATCATATTTTTGTCGTATATGCTTTTCAGAAAAAAATGAAACAAAAAAAATGATCAATGAACAAGAGCATGTAATTCGAAATCCATTTAATTATAACATACACTTAAATAATATGTGTTATGGAATAAAAGAAGAATGTGTGTGGAATGTTCTTCCTTCTTATCATAATACAATAAACGTAACTTGCGACGTAATGCACGATTTGATGGAGGGTATATGTAAGTATAAAATGGCTCAAATTTTGCATTTTTTGATGAACATCAAACAATATTTTGATATAAATACTTTGAACAATCGTATAAAATATTTTGATTACTGCAGTGGTGTTGATATTGGTAATTCAATTCCGACAATAAATATTAATCATATTAAAAAAGGAATGATAATAATGTCCTCTGCAGAAATGCATGCTTTTGTCACTTATTTTACGTTAATTGTAGGTGATTTAATTGAACCTGGTGAAGAAATATGGGAATTCTATTTATTGCTGTATAATATTGTCCATTTAATTTATAAGAAAGAAATAAGTTTACAAGAAATTAACTATCTTAAATATTTAATCCAAGAACATCATAGAATGTACATAAAACTTTTCAATACCACACTGAAACCCAAACACCATTTCCTTGTCCATTATCCACGAATAATTAAATCTGTTGGACCATTGTCACATATATCTTCTATAAAATTTGAAGCCTTTCATAAAATTGGTAAAACAATAGCTAAAGTTGTGATGTCAAGGAAGAACATTGTTTACACATTAGCCATTAAACATCAATTAAGATTGTCGTATCGTTTAATATCAGAGAAGGGTTTGAACGATGTCATTAATCTTGGCCCTAAACTATATTATAACACTTATTTACAATTGAATCTTGAAAACATTCCGAATCAGAGTGTTGAAATGTCTTGTGGATAAAAGTTAACAATATTATTTTCAAACCAAAATTAGTTATTCAAATAGACCGTGATTCGTATGGTGATCCTATTTTTGGTATAATAAAGCATATTTTGTATAAGAACGATAACGAGATTTTCGTAATTTATATGTACTTGCACTGTCACGGCATAAATAAACACTTTGAGGCTTATGTCATCGACAAATCAAACAACAAAGAATATTCAATAATTAATATCAAAGAATTGTATACATTGCCTACGATTATTCATAAAGGTGGTAATGGTAACCAGTATATAAGTAACATGAATCAAGATTGACTTACTATAGTAGATATGTATAAGTAGATATAGAATTATAAGTGTATATGTATATGTATTATACAGGGTTGGCAAGTAACGCCAACCTTAGCGTTTAGTTAGTTAGTGTTACCGTCATAAGAAATTGTAATATTGTCATCAAATTATTTACTATAAAAAGTATCGACAAAGTAACTGAAAAGTAACGTTTGTCAACCCTGGTACTATTAAGTGTTGAACTTAATTCCTGCCGTTTTTCATCTCCAAAATTGATTTGTTTCGAAGAGAAATACCTTAATTAAAGTATTATTAATTAGTAATAAAGTAGAAAATGGAGGAAATTACTTTGATTAAGGTATTCATTCATCTTTCCTTCGAAACAAATCAATTTTGGAGACGAAAAACGGCAGGAATTAAGTTCAACACCTAATATATAATTATAAACTATTGATAAAACTAAAAAATAAAATATAATATTAAAATATGTACATGCGTTTTATTAATAAACATATATATTTTATAATACATATCTTTTCTATTATCTTCTTTGTGATAACTTCTATATGTATTCATTTTTAATATATGTAAATTTGCACGGAAATTATCATAAATAAGTTGTCATTATAATGATATTTAGTAATTAATAATCAAAAGGCACTCACAAAAACATCGAAATATTGGAGAAAAATTTATATATTAACTATTAATATGCATATATATATATAATTAATGTGCATTTACATAAATATTATTATGTATTTGTGGATACCTTAAAGATTTAGTAAATAATATTTGAAAAATTTACATAAAAATACTTAAATTCGGGAAGAGAATTGGTATATTAACTATTAATATATGTAAATTCGCATAAAAATCATCATATTTTCATTACTGCCATAGCTGTTGCTATAGCTAATACTGAAGAAAGTTTTTATAAGAACACTGAACTTCTGGACGAGAACAGATATATTAACTATTAATAAAGCAAGCTTTAAAATTAATATTCGTCCATTTATAAGTAATTTTCCGTGCTTTAACAATAAATCGATGGTTTTCAATATACCATGTCTTAACTATAAAGAAATATTTATTAGGACCCAATACAAAAAATTTTTACATTTACAGCAAAGCATATATATTAACTATTAATATACAGTTTTTTCGGTGTAAACTGAGTCGAAAAGTCCTTTACCATTTTATAATTTTCGCAATAATTAACAAGATATTAATTACTAAAATATTGGTTTTCAAGAATTTTTTACTC